GCCCGCCCCCTTCGTGCCCCGTCTCCGCCCGTCGCCCCCCCGCCTCCCGTCCGGCCTCCTCCTCCCCCTCCTCCTCCTCCTTCTCCCTCTTCTCCTCCTTCGCCTCCTCCTCCTCCTCCTCCTCCTCCTCCTCCTCCTCCTCCTCCTCCCTCCTCCTCCTCCTCCTCCTCCTCCTCCCCTCCCCCTCCTCCTCCTCTCCTGCCTCCTCCTCCTCCCTCCTCCTCCTCCTTCTCCTCCCCCTCCTCCTCCTCCTCCTCCTTCCTCCTCCTCCTCCTCCTCCTCTTCCTCCTCCTCCTCCTCAATATGAATACTACTCTCCCTCTTCCCCCGATGGCGGCCTGAAAGTAGCCGACCCCCCCCCGCGTCCTGCTTTTTTACACACGGGATTCCCGGGAGTTGGGTTTTCGCGTGCATTTGTTTCAAAATGCTGCTCTCGCTGAGGCGCCGGCCTCATTTTCGGGCCCCGCTCGTTCCGAATCGTGCTCCCGCTGCAGCGCTGACCTCATTTCCGTGCTTCCGCTCTTTCCGAATCGTGCTCCTGCTGCAGCGCTGGCCTCATTTCCGCGCTTTCGCCCGTTTCGACTCGTGCTCCCGCTGCAGCGCTGGCGTCATTTCCCGTGCCATGCCACAGCACACGCGCATACACACACCACCACCACCACCACCACCACCACCACCACCACCACCACCACCACAACCACAACCACAACCACAACCACAACCACAACCACAACCACAACCACAACCACAACCACAACCACGCACACACGCACGCACGCACGCACGCACGCACGCCACTAGTCCGCGGATAGAGTAAATCAGCGCCATGGTAAGGGATGCGAAGGAGGGGTAGGACGTCAGATATGACGCGCGCGCACCTAGCTTGTCCCCCTCCCCCTCCCCCTCCTCCTCCTCCTCCTCCTCCTCCTCCCCCTCCTCCTCCTCCTCGTCCTCCTCCTCCTCCCTCCTCCCTCCTCCCTCCTCCTCCTCCCCCTCCCCCATCCTCCTCCTCGTCCTCCTCCAGGCTGCCATTCGGGTTTCCACGCGCGCGGGGGCGCGCGGCGGGCGCATCCATCTGGCCCCAGCCTGCAGCCCGACGGCGGGCGCAGGCGCAACAGCGGCGGCGAGCGGCCCCCTTGGGCGTGCTCCGCCGCCGACCTGGCATCGCCGCTTGAGGAGGCGCCGCGCCAGCTCGAGGCAGACCCTGCGCGAGGCCGCGGCCAGGCGTCTCCTGCAGGCGCACCACGGCAGTGCCCCGCCAGCTGAGCCGCCAGAGCCTCAGCGGATGCACAAGAATGAGGAGGTCTGGCCATGCAAGGCGACGAGGGCCTGCGGCTTCCGCAACAACTACTCCAGCAGGGCGACGTGCTGGGCGCGTGGCCGAGACAGAGGGGGAAAGCCCACGGTCGCGCCCAAGAGGTCATCCAGCCGCAGGAGGCCACTGTCGCGCAATGCAGAAGCGCCTTGGCGCGATCGGGCTGATCCTGCTCCCGCTGCTCCTCAGGCTGCTGGTGATGTCACGCCTCAGCAGTCAGCAGCAGCGAAGTCAAAGCGTGCTTGGCTGGCCAGACGAGCACGAGCTGGTCATCGCCGCCAAGGCCGACCACGACAAAACAGAAGCTGCATTACGTGCCCAGTTGGACCCCTCGGACCTGCTCAGAAGCGCCAAAGACAGATGGACGGCCAAGGAGTCCGAGAGATCAGCCAAGGCCGCGCAGGTCGAGAAGATGGAGTTGGAGCTCGCCGAGGCCAAGCAGCAGCTCAGCAGGCTCGTGGCGGAGGCGTCCACCCTCAGCGAGGAGGTCGCTCAGGCCCAATCCGCAGTGGCAGCAGTGGCAGCCACCGAAGGAGCTCCAGCAATGGCTAGCGTCTCAGCAGCCACCACCCAACCCCAGGCTGTCCTGCAGGCGGCGAGGGCAGGCACCTCGAACATGGACGGCTCCCAGCTCCTGTCCACCATCGAGCAGCAGGTCAGCAACCTCGGCACCATCGCGACTGGGATCGCAGCGCCGCCAACCGCCTCAGCACCTTCAACACTGCAGCCAGCTGCTTTTCGCCCCTCAACGGGGCGTCCTGAAGCAATGTCGGTCGAGCAGGCAGCCTGGGAGCAGGCGGGTGCGGACTAGAGCCCTGAGAGGCTCCAAGCGCAAACACATTGCAGTTGCTACCTTCAACGGTTCTTGTTGGGGTACTTGCGGGACCTTTCTGGCTGAAGGTACAAAAGTGGTCCATATCGCGTGCGCTCAAGAACTCAGGCTCGGTGAAGAGCGTCTCGCCCAGGCACAAAGTTGGACTCGCCGCAGCGGATGGCAGGCCGTCATCACTGCTTGCCGACGACTACCTAGGACTACCCAGTGCGGGCACAGGCGTCTTTGTGCGATGTCATACCCTTGCCGCTGCCGTCGAGGGACCAGAAGGCAAAGTCACTCATGAAATCACACCAGCTCCGGCAGTGGTCATACACGTTGATGTGGGACGTATTAGAGGGCTGCTGGTGGGATCTGTCTATATGGAATATACGCACAAAACATGCTACCTAACTGCCAACTATGACCGCTACTTGGGGCTCCCGAGGTTCCTCCGATATATGAACAACCCGTACATCAGCGCTGGCGACTGGAACGCCACCCCGCTAGATTATTTGTTATATGGCTTCCCTGAGGTGTTCCCAGCCGCGCTTCTACACCAATGAGGGGGGCACGTGTCGCACGCCGAAGGGTGACTACAACAATATCGGCTACTTCCTCGCGTCGCCTGGCCTTGGGGTGGCACGCAGGCCACCCACCGCGATGACGGCATGGCCAGCGCGGCCCCACAAGCCCGTCCTCACCTACATCCAGGCCAGGCCGAAGACCATGCAGATCCTCAGCATCACCGCCCCGAGGAGCTTCCCCAAAGGACACCCTGCCACAGAGGGCTGCAACCCACTGCAGGGCCCAATTGCCACGCCTGACTACCTGGACATTGTGGAGAACGACGCTCGGCGAGGCCCACCTACTTCCAGTACAGAAGCCATCGGCCGCATGGGCGTCTTGCATGGCCAGTTCATCTCACACGTAGAGAGCGAGCTTATCGGCATCTGCCAAGTCGGCGAGCCTGATGCCCACCGAGGCCGCGCAGATGGCCCATCTCACACGCGGCGGCCGATTGGAGACCCCAAGACAGGCCCACACCCTGCAGGAGGCAGCGAGGCTCGATACCTTCGTACTGCGGGTCAAGCGCTTCTTGACCTGGTGGCCGACTTCCTGGCCGAGATTGGAGCCGCGGAGGTCGATCAGCTACCCAGCTATTGTGACTCGACGAGGACGACGACTGTGGAGCGCCCGACCCCACCGCCATCACTTGGCAGATGGTGCGACCTCACAGTCCCGAGCGCCATGGGCAGGCCCCCAACTGACGCAGTTGATCAGGACAGCCCTGAGGAGCAGTTCAGGGACGCGGCCGCCGCGGGTACGTCAAGATGGGCGCCAGACCTTACAGATCCAGAATCGGGCGCACGACCATTGAGGGAATGGTGCGTGGCCTACGTGACGGACTGCCTGCGACTCCCTCAACATCTCGGTTGGGTCGCGATCGCGCTTGGCGACAACGACTTCTTCTTAACGCGAGCTGGCGGAGAACATCTGCAGCGACGCATGGGGGCGCTCGGCGGAGAATCGAGCCGCCATCATCTCCTACTTGGACTGGCTCGCGGACAATGACAGACCGCTGGGGCGACAGATTCTCTCCCAGCATTGGACAGAGCTCGAGGAGATCAGGAGCGAGATGAGAAGACTCTTGGGAGATATACCACTACCTGGCCTGCTCTACTATGACGACCAGGAGCGGGCTTACAATGGGAATGGCTTCTCTCATCGGATACAAGCTTTGCTCAATCCTGACGTCGTCACGCCCCTTCAGAGAAATGTGCCCAATGAGGTCATCCAGGATCCCAGGCTGACCCAAACATCTGATCCTGGCCTGGCCTCGGAGCCATCAAAGGGCCTAACAGGTGGCGAAGAGCTTTCGGGGTCCAGAGGCTCACAGGACCAGCTCAGAGGCAAAGGAAATCTGGCGAAGAACGCGGGATCGATCTCGGCCAGCCGCTTGTTACCATCACGACGCCGAGCACGATGGACGCGCCTCGTCAGATTGCCACGACCAGGCCATGCCCAAGACGTCCACACCGTAGAGGGCAAGTGCTATTCCAACGGCGCCTGGAACATCATTCACCTCGCCTGCAGGCAGCACCCCATACAGCGTATACTCTGTCTCCAGGCGCTTGCCAACACTATCATGACGCACGTGGACCAGCTCGATTGGCAAGCAGGCTGGCACAGGATCACTAAATTCAAGGCATGGGCCCGCGATGCGATGGTCACAGGCCCTGCGCAGGTCTACTCGATCACCAGGGTGCAGCCATGGGCACATGCCCAGATCAAGATGGGTCGGATCCAGACGCCGCACCCCCGGGCGATCGCCGACACCCAGATGGATAGCTGGCGGAAGATCTGGGAAGGAGAGCGACGCGATGATGCTGACCACCCGAGGCAGCTTGCCGACCATGAGGATGAGGAGCTTCTGGCTGCGATACGACATCTTCCCACGGCGGCCTTGCCCGTGCCTACGATAGCTCAGACCAGAAGAGCGGCCTCAACATTCAGATGGCGTACAGGGCTGGGGGTTGACGCACTGCCACCTCGCGCCCGATCCCTCGTCTCCGATCCGGCCCTTGCGATGCTGATCTACATCTACTGGGCGGCCGAAACATGGGTGCGATGGCCCACGGTCATGCTTAATGTACACATCATGCTTCTTGCGAAACCACAAGGAGGCTTTAGATCAATAGCACTCCCTCCAGCGACGTATCGCATCTACACGAAGCTCAGGATGCAGCAGGTTCGTCAATGGATCTCGAAACACCAGACCGCACTTTGCGCCGGGGGCCCACAAGTGCACGTTGGATGTGGGCGCGCGCACCATGATCTACGCGGAGGCCTACGCGCATGACAAGCTGAAGG